GAGGGGGGGAGGGGGGGAGGGGGGGGAAGGGGCGGGAGGAGGGTGTTGGGGAAGAGGAGGCTGCCTTGACCCCTTCCCCAGACAGATTGTCACATCAGGAGGAGGCGGTGGGGTGGCAGGGAAGGGACGGGAAGGGAAGGGAAGGGAAGGGGGGAAGAAGCAGGGCAAGGGGTGTGGTAGTGGCTTACCAAAGATGCTGATTTGATTGTGGCAAACGGTTCTCTGTTCCGGTAGTGGAGGGCCTGATTCTGGACTGAGTGGGTAGGCCGCAGATCAGGCCTGCGCTCCCCGTGGCCCACCTCATCCCTTATGAATACATGATCCTGCAGAAATGGATAAAAACAAGGAGAAAGTCCAGTTGTGCTCTTTCCTCGCCGGCTGCCTCGCTCTCACCCCGCTTTTTGCACAAGCCCCGCTGTTTGAAATGCATAGTTCGGCTCTCGGCTAGTCCCTACAGCGATCCCGGTACAAAATGAATAAGGAACACATTGCAGCCTTCGGGTAGAAAATGTCAGCTGATCGCTAGTGGGATGCCTCCTGAATCCCTGGCAGATTTTTTTCCTTCCTTCCTTCCTTCCTTCCTTCCTTCCTTCCTTCCTTCCTTCCTTCCTTCCTTTTTTTTTTTTGGGTAACCTCCGGAATCACATATGTGCAAAAAAGAGGAGCCGAAGCGCCGAGCACTGCAGAGCCGGGAGAGTCCTCAGAAGCGCTGGCTGGAAACGCTGCGCCCAAATAATCGCTTTAAAAAGATGGTTTCCATGGCTCGCAAGGATGCTGCTCCTGCTGCTGCGGCGGCGGCGGCTGCTCCCTTTGAACACAGAAGCGGGGATCTGCCTCATTCCCTTCTCCAGCCTGGTTTTTTTTCCTCTGAACTCGCTATCGGCTCTGGAGAAGCATTTCTGCCTCGACGGTTGCGGCGTGAAGGAGGGGAGGGAGGGAAAAAGGAAAAAAAAAAAAACCCTCTCTGGCTCTATCTTGTGCTCAAAAGACTCGGTGACCACTCAGAGATGCTTTCTAGTCATGATCGTGCACGGTTCTAGCATTTTCTCTCCATAGCCTTGAAAAGGAGGATTTTTTTTTTTTTTTAACATTTAAAGAGACAGAGCACACTTTCCTACAAACGATCCTGACCCAGGGCTTCCACAGTCACTTTGCCCCAGGAACCGGGACGGAAGGGCTGCGCTCGCTTACTCTTGTGTGCATGCACTTTGGGGCGGGGGGGGGGTGTCAAATAGCTACAGAGGTTATTTGGGAACCCGGAGGCTTCTCAGGCAGAGCGCCCAGATTTGGAATATGTTCACATCCACGACAGCCCGTTCGGGCACAGGCTGGGTGCCTCTGAGCTTTGCTCCCGCCGAGCCTCAGCTGTTCATCTGCAAAATGGGAATAAATCACTGTCTCCCACCAATCGGGCTGAAAATGGCACAGGCACAATGACACGTATAAAAACCACTTATGTGGCGCTATCTACGGTCACGTTAATGAGCGATTTGTAGCTGCTTGCGTGCTGGGACAAGTTTCCAAGAGGATGGTTACCGCAATCGAAGGAGGCCATCGCCTGCATTCTCACCATTTGCAGGAATGCAGGCAGCGTTAGCAAATTCAGGGAGTCCTCGTTTAGTGACCACAATTGGGACCAGCAACTCGGTGGTTAACCGGAGCGGTCGCTAAGTGACACCATGACTGGGCTTAGGAACTGACTTCAGCTTTCCTTTGCTTTACAGACCTGCGAAGGTCGCCAATGCGAGGACGGGTTGCAAAGTTACTGGTTCATCACCGTCGTAACTGTGAATGGTCGCAAACAAGGTAGTCACTAAACAAGGACTATCTGTACGGTCTAGAACATATTGGTTCTAGGACTGTTTGGGGCTGCAGCCAATGGGATGCTTGCAGAAATATGTTAGGGGAGTAGTTGCCTTTCAGAATGTAAGAGCCAAAGTGGTGGAAAACACATTCATTGTTAAGAACACACAGGGAAACACAAGAACGAACAACTGTGGGAGATGGATTCTAGTGCACACAAGGGTGTTGAACACAGACCAGGTTCTACCAGTTGACAAAATTCTGACCCAGGAAAAGCTGCCTTGAAGTTATTATTCTGTCTGAGCCCTCACACTTCCTTCAAGGATTGCAGCTCTGCAGCTCTGCCTACTGAGTCACACACAGGTCCTTGCAATTCCCTAGGGATTCCTGAAGATGAGCACCATAAAGCAGAAGCGAGTATCTGTTATGCTGGTGAGGTGAAATCAGAGACCTTGATCTCGCAAGGCCTTTGAACCTTCCACGATTAAGCAAGCAGACTTGATTAAGCAATCAAGCAACTTGACATGAAAGAGAGGCAACGCTCGAGAATCTGTTCTTCACCAAGATTTGGGACCTTGGCTTTGCATCGTATGGTTGGTAAGCCACTGGGGTTTCTAAGCCCTGATTTATAACTTACGGTTCCATAAACCAATCTACTATTGCTTGTTCAACAAGTCATGTTCCAAAGCAACCACACTTTAACAAGGGGGGAAACCAGACCCTTTGGAAGTTACAGAAGTCACAATTCTTTGAAATACACCATCAAATCCATAGGGTGAATTGAGAAGACATTAGTACAACTAATTGTTGTATGTTACCCAGATTCTTAAAGAGAGAAGTCAAAGCTAGCTTAGGTAAAACTAGCTTCTCATTTGACTATCCTAAAATAAACTGCCACACGATTACCACCTCAAACTGTTAAACTCATATACAACAGGCTTAGGTAATAGCTGTAGGTGTCTCCCCCAACCCCCAGTTAGGTTCATCTCCACCCAGATGTTTCCCCAAATCTCTGCTTGTTAATAATCTTGTTTGCAGGTGCAGTTAGAGATATCACATTGTAGTTAAATACCATCTCAATCATAAGGCGGGCATAAAAGGCCAAAGGCATAGTTGAGTATCATAAATGCTAAAGTATAAATGCTTTTGGTATCCCCTCTCTTGCCAACTAACCCATAGACTTGCTCAACAGTCAAGCACTGACAGCTTAACGCACATGGAACAGTGCATTCTTTTCTTTAAAAGTACCTTTTCTTTAAAAAGGTTAGCCTTGCCCATGTAGTAGGTCAACACAAGAGTAAGCCTAATGTGACTTGCAGGATCTTCATCACCAGGGGTCATTTAGGGTTGAAAGGAACGTCTGGACAGCCTCTTAAGCATATTCCAGTGTGTCCATCGCTGGAGATGAGAAAACCGTTCTTTGACTTCGGCAATTTGTATGGGAGTTACTTACTACTTCAAGCAAAAGAAGGGACTTAAGCAACAAGGCCACCATTATTTTATCTTCTAAGGCGGAAGAGGGCAGGCATATTTCCATTTTAGGAGATGGAGGGAGGTTCTTTTTTAAGGACTGATAATCAATATGCATTGATTACTGAGTATCAATTGCATTTTTCAGGCCATGCCTATTCATTGAAATTTTAAGAAGGTCCAGGTTAAGGTGGTTAAAGTGGTTCAATCTGAAGTAAAAACACATCCAGGAGCCATATTTGGAATTCAACGTAGCTACCCCCTCAACAAAAACAAAAATAAGAAAGCCTAATTTATACATGTCTTCCTTTCTTAATTAGGCTTTCAAGATACATTGTTGTTTTGCATCAGCATTAATATGACGGGAACTTCCTCCCAATCTGAATCTTCACCCCAGAGAAGAGATCCATTAAGGATATCGGACAACAATATTCAGCTAAGAATTTGGTCTCAAAACATGTACACGTTCAGGTGTATCAATAGACTTAGGAAGAGTTCTATCTGTTGCTTAACTGAATCTAGCTTTTTAATCACGTGCCAGAAGAGTTTAATTTCGAGAAAACTGCCTAGGATCACGTGGGGAAAAAAAATCACTGTCCCTTGTTGTCACTAACATAACCCAAGGAGACAGGAGACCATGAACCCCTTCTATAATTCATGACTATTCACTCAAAGGTTTAGCTACTCTGCACAACTGCTTGGGAGCATTCAGAGCACAAGGTAAGAACATCTCTCCTTACTGCCAAACATCATGTGTGACTGAGAAGCCTTGGATTCCATCCAATAATATAACACATTCTAGCATTCTTTATTTTGTCCCTAATAGCTTTCCATGGATATAAGCACGTGGTTCCAAAATTCCTTTCCCCACTTCTATCTTACAGATGCTGAGTTCTTTCAAGCCTGCAGAAGAGTCCACCCAGCGCTCAGCAAGGGAAGAATGAAACTGAACAGCAAAGAAGTCAGCATCTCACCACCCTAGAAACAAGATATGCCAAGAAAAATAGTTGTCGTGTTCGGAAGAACCTGGGGAAGTTCCCAAGTAATGTCCTCCTGGTAAGAGGGAAGTTGCAGCAACAGCATGTGATCTATTGAATCTAAATTGATAAACAGATGGTTGGACGCCCAAGCACTGTCTCCAAACTCAAGACTGGGGGTATCTGTGGCCTTTCAGGTATTGCAGAACATTACTTCCCAACAACCTTGACTAGCATGGCCCATTATATGGGATGCTGAAAGCTAAATTTCATTAAAGTTCTGAAGGACCATAGGAAGCTCTAGCTAAGAGTCTTGTCTTGAAGCTATGCATGCTTGCATGAGTAGATGGCCTACAAAGGTGTCTTCTCTAACAAGAGTGTACATGGGACTTTAGATGATATGATATGATAAGGCCAGGGAAGCCCAAGTGTCTGGATTTACAAGCCTGGCTTTAAAAGTTGAGTTCTCTGCTGTTCCTTAAGATGGGCTTGGTGAACCTGGCATCTGCAGGTTTTCTGAGACAGATGTAGAGTATCAGAAGCATCTAAAAGAATACATGTATATATTTGGACCCTACATTCTTGCTGCAGTTCTTCACTAGCTCAGTTTTGAAGAGCAAAACATACATCTTTTAAAAATGAATACCCTTGGCTGGAAGCCTGTATCACTTTCATGTAAACCATTCTACCAGAAGATACGGCCTTTATTTTACTTTATTTTGTTTAAGTGTGTGTGTGTGTGTGTATTCATGAGCATAGAAGGGCCCCTTGTTCACTAGGATTTTATTACAGCTACAGAATGTACAGTGGTTCTTCCATTGTATTTCCAAACCTTCACTGAAACTAAGTATGTATAATTTGCCCCTTTTTCAACTTCCCCAAACTCTGACTACTGAATAGGTTACATTAGGTTACAGTAGTTGGGCATCATCTTCTGAAAACAAAAGTGGGAGCCAGAAATGACTTTTTGAAACTTTTGAATAATTTGGCAAATGATGCTTTGATGGTATAGAAGACCCCTCTCTCCTTCACATATTTTGTCTGTTTTATTATGCACCATCTTGGGCTATTTT